ACCTGGAGAGCCAGGCCTCGGGGAGCGGAGGTGGGGCTGGGCTCTAGGAATTGAGGCCCGAGGTGAAGCGGGGAGTCCTAGAGGCTGATGGGGTGGACACAGCCCAGGGCCCCGCCTGTGGGTGCGGCCTGCACTGAGGGGCGGCTGAGTGAGGAAAGGGTCAGGGTCAGGATGCTCACGTGGGCCCGCAGAAACACACAGTCACATTGAATCAAACCCGGGCATGTGCCCTTGATGGGACTCGAACCTGGGACCCTTCAGTCCTGGGTAGGCCGGGGCTCTACCCACTGAGCCAACCCGTCTAGGGCTCCAACTCCATCCTCAATCCCATCCCCAAATCTACCTCCTCGTGTTCCCTGGGCCCCGGCCCATTTCCCCCAGCCCTTGGCCTCCAGGCCGCCTCCCTCCCCCCGCCTTCCCCCACCCTGTTGGGTGAGGTCCCCACTCACTTCTTCCGACAGTGGGCGGCCGTGAGCAGCCACTGCCGGTCCACCAGCACCGCCCCGCAGTAGAGCTGGTTGGGTTTCAGCAGCAGCGCCGCCTGCCAGGGCTGGGTGTGCTCCGGGCAGTCTGTCCCGTTGATGATGCGGCTGCTGCTGTCGTTCTCCCGGGTGCCCTGTCTGGTCCCGGTTCCGAGGTCCCGGGCGCCCCCAGAGGCCCCGGCGGCAGGGGCTTTGTTGCAGGCGGCACCAGCATTTGCAAGAACAGGTTCTGGGTGCAGGAAACAGGAGGGACCGGGCTCGGAGGTGGAGCTGGGACTCAGAGCGGGGGAGGGTTGGGACCAGCCCGAGGAGGTCGGATTTCTGAAGGGAGCTCATGGGGGGTGTGGGGGGTGCAGGGGGTGGACAGTGGGGCCAGGAGTTTAGGGGCGCGGCCAGGGGTCTAGAGGTGGAGCCGCTGGGAGGGAGCGAGGCTTAGAGTTCAAGGGCAGGGTCCAGGCTCAGGTGGTGAAGAGATCCTAGGAGTGGTCAGAGGTCAGTGGGTGGGGCTGGGAGGGTAAAGTTGGACACCCCCAGGGTGGGGCC